CAGAGCTGAAGCCATTTACACAGATCTTTTTTTTATACAAAAACGATAGCGTAAATGTATCAATAAAAGATTTTGAACGAATCTTTTGGAAAGTACGTGCTAAAAGACAATAATGTAATCACTTTATGGACTCTCATGATTAATTCATCCAAATAAATCTATTGAATCAAATTTCTAAAGCTCTTATAAAACAAGTCGATCTTTATCTTATCTATATCTTTAATGTTTTGCAATCTAGACGCAATTACAGTTGTGATGTCCGCTCGCCAGTCAATCATATGTACGCTAAACTATATCGATTATCGATCAATCACACAGACGTTTCTCTACTCGATCATAACTCGGCTTTCACCCTAATCACTGAGGTAATAAGGCGTATAACCAATGACTTCTTAGCCGGTACTTTTATGTAATAATGAGCAATTGATCGAGTTACTCGCAAGCAGCCGATAATAATCGATTCAGCGAGCCATTGATAGATGAAACGTATCAAGTTTTCATCGATACATACACTGAACATTAAAACTGGTTACAACAATGGTTAGCTGTCATTAAACGATTTTTATCTGTATGCTCAATTATATAATTAACACTATATTATTTCATGACTTATCATCCTAGAACATCATTATGGGTATTGCATCAGCACTTTGAACAGTATTATACATAGAGTAACACAGCCAACGCGGCTGGGAGGGGAGAAGCCATAATGACATAATACTACTGAAATCATTCTGCCGCTTTTTGCGGGGGGAGGAATATACACATAAATGCAGTCCAACATACTTTCGCAAAAACGAAATTGTAATTACGACACTCACACATAAAAATGACAGCGCTAAATCGGGCATCAATGAATCTGAAACCTGAAATTTGTAGAGTCTGTGCGGAAAGAGAATGGGATTTAGATTGGAGGGTGCTGTAGTGCTTTTCTATCGTATTTGTAAGGTTTTACCCCTTTTAGACATGATTAAATACAAAAAGTTAGTTTTTCACCACGCCCATTCTCTTTCCGCACAGACTCTACTGGCAAATCGATTTTTTTGTCAAACAAGTTCGACGATTGAATTTTAACAAAATAATATGAATCTTCTGTTAAAAGTAGTTAAATAGAAATAATATGTTAATAATTCTACTTATATGTGAAATTTAAGACCATCCTTTTGTAAGTTTAATATACGAGATATGTTTTACAGCAAATTACATAACATTTTGGCATTTTTGATCTCTAACATACACTCGCGCGACATGGCTCAGTCTAATGAAATACCCCGACAAACAAACTGTTGTATATATGCGCCTCCCTAAAAAATAAATATAGGATCTTCATGATCAATTTCATTATCTCGCGTGATCGATCTCTAACCTAGTATCGATACATGATACGTTAAGGTGTTCGGGATCAATTTGTCAGCCGTATGTAGATCGTTGATTGAAGGTCGTCTAGTCCAAACCTTCCATCGCGCAGTCTCCTTTCTGGGTCATTACATGAACTAACATAATAATATATGAATATAGGTATGTATACATAAATGATTACCTACAAGATGCGATCGATATAAATTACGAATTGTATGTAGTCAATCTATTTAATTCTATTTATAAAATACTTCATTTTATAAATAGAATTAAATAGATGTTATAAATGATTCTGTATTCGCTTCATGAAGGTAGAAACTTTTTCTAATTTAAATTGATCAAATAAATTTAAAATTCGAACGCTAATTTTAGTGCATTAAGTATGAAAGCGACTTTTTGGCGGGATCGGGAAGCATCACTTTAGCAGTTTTGTTTTTCTAGTTAAAAATTGTGTCGAGGAGGATGTTAGTGTCTAATAATGGTGGATTATTAACCACTAAGTATTCGGGAACATGCACAAGTGTTGGCAAGTGAAACAAAACAGCGGAAAGTGTCTTTCGACGTTCCCTCAAGAAGTCCATGGGGAGGTTCCAGTAAATCCCCACACATTTACTGAAACATATGGAAAGGGGGATGGACTTGACTGCCACTTACTTTGACTTGATTTATTACTTTGACCACGAGTGCTTTACTATTTGTAAATATTTTAATACTTGACATTGGCTAAATGCACAAACCGTGCGAAGCCATTCAGAAAAAAAAAGTAGTAAAGCCACCCGAAACTTCGTCGCACAGGTGTAGTATGGGAGAAGCATAATAACAGTCAAGTTGCGTGCAAAGCAAATAATTTATTTAGTTTCCGTCCTGACATTTCGCTGTCAATTTTACTATTGACTGTATGGAGTGGTATTATATTTATTATGCCCGTCCAATATTAATGAATTTCCAATATTTGTACTCAAAGATACAGATTGCTTCGCTACGTATAAGTGAAACACTCCATTATTCTGGTTCATATTTGATATCTACCAACAAAAGTCACGCAAAGGCATTCCCTTTCTTTGTGTAACAATGAATAGGACTGCTTTAATACTGCTTTTATGTGTAAAAATAGCTCAATTCATAGGTACACAAAAAGAAAACATATATCCGCTACGCAATATAAAATCTTTTTTTTTGAAGTGAAGACTTCTTTAGCGGCGTTGTACACTTTTTTTGTATGGGTAAAAAATGTTAAACTCGCGTCAGGTTAAACACGTGGGCTGATCACATCATGACCCACAATAAAATTAGAAAGGTTGTTGACTTTCAATATATTGGACTCATAGTAATATTTTATTTTATTGTATTATAATAATAAGTTACTATCTAGGACGTCCACGTGGCAGCTTTATTGCGAAAAAAATGCATTTTTTTACAATAGATGTCGCTAGGTGCGCTTAAATGTGATTCATGTAAGTTGATTTCTTTACAATAGATGTCGCTAAGTGCACTTAAACGTGATTCATGTAAGTTGATTTTTCTGAGAGATAAACTTTTTAATGAAATATAAATTGTCATGTTTGTGTACGATAGCGCAATAAATAAATATTGTATTCTACCTCATACATGATAGTACTTTTATACTGATAAATTAAAGCAATTCGTGCAAAATTATTCCCTAACCATTCCAAAATATCAAAAATGCACAACGTTAATATTCAAGTTTTCACTTCTGCCGGCACACCCGGAGTGCAACCCGTCGTTTTTTTTAATAAAGACCGACTGGCGTGGCACTGACTACAAATGTTAATTTGACTTTAAATTTAGTTTAGATAATAATAATAATCTTTTATTTTTGCCAAAAAACTGTACAATATTTTAAGTTAATAAGGACACAGTTTTTACTTATAAAGTAGGTAATAGTAAAACCTTAGGCATTCGGATTTTCTGACATAGTGACACTGAGTCCTAGCTAGATTATAAAATAACAGTTCTGTTCCCTCGTCGCAAGATAGATTGTAGAAGTTTTCAGTACTTGCCTTACTTTAAAATCCGAGACCGAACTATCCACCCACTGCGCTACTGACTTCGAGTATCTATTAAACGGGAGTAGCCATTATCACTTTATTCTATACTAGTGGCCCGCCCTCGCTTTACTTCAGTGTAGAGCTGAAGTGTAGACTGTCGTTTTTGTTCCCAGGCTTGTATTATACACGTACCGCTATGTCCCTGCATTTTAAAATCTGTAATATTTCGAAAATATTCATTTAAATTACATGCTTAAAAGGGCCAAATTGATCTGTATTAAATACACAATGTATTTAAGGTACTTAATCGGTTAATGATGAGTGTTATATTGCTGAAAATCGCTGCGTAAATAAGCTATTATTTCTCGTAAAAAGTATAAAATATAAAATGGTTATTGTGAGTTATCCCTAAGAGATAGACATATATCATCGCGGACTTTTTTGTAGACCTTTTTAAGGTGTACAACAGTATAGATCAAAATAATGTACTACAAGCTAGTACATTATTTTGATCTATCTCGTAGGGTTCAGCCAGCGTTTGCAATGTAAGCGTAAAAAATGTGATTATTTACGACCTTACATTAAAAACCTCTAAAATAATCAGTGTTTCTCTACTATATTATGCATGTATTATACATATAAACCTTCCTCTTGAATCACGCTATCTATTAAAACACCGCATCAAAATCCGTTGCGTAGTTTTAAAGATCTAAGCATACATAGGGACAGACAGCGGGAAGCGACTTTGCTTTATACCATGTAGTGATAAAAGGTTCTGACAATTCTGGCAGGGGACGAGGTACACACGTATACAAATGGTAGCGGACTTGGGGTCAACACCAACTGATCGATGGTACGATCCTGAGCTTGTTTTTTTTAATTGTTAATTTTTTCTTTTATTAACGAAAATATGCCATACTCAAACACCAGCGTGTTGTTGCTACGCACACACAAAAGGGACATTAAAAGAATGAACGATATTTGAATGAACAGTTCTTAATGAACCAAAAAAAATGTTTATTTATAATGAAATCAAAAAGTTTCATTTATAAATATCTATCAGAAAGTTTACTTAATCACTAAAGATATAGTGCTTATGATTACATACACAAAATTCTTATACGTATAAGTCAAACAATTTTTTGCAAATTATATTGCAAAAGATCTTGCTAACTGCCTACATTTAATACTTTTGACCGACCTTCAAGACAGCAAACGCAGTACTTTTTAAAATAACAACAATGCGTAAATGACCCTAAGAGTATACTAGTATATAAATGACCCAAGCTTATCTTCGACCTTATTTATCTATTCTTAGTTTAAGAAAATACTCAGCGATTCAAGCTTTCGGCAAAGATCGATCCCATTCTATTTAACGAGTGCTACGCTAGCGCACGCTTGATCAAAAATGATGACAAACATCTAAATATTTTAGAAATACGTATTGAGCACGTACGTATGGAGATCGATAGTGAAGGTGGTGGTATATCTCGAACTCCTCCGCGCTTCGGAAGGCACGTCAAGCCGTTGGTCTCGGCTGTATCTGCAGTCGTTAGCACCTACCAATCCACACTGGGCCCACGTGGTGGGTCATGAACCAATCTCCCTATTGTTTTCTTTCATCTTTTCCAGCGCTCTGCAACGACGACCCCAACGGTAACGTGCCCCTCGGCAAGTCGTGCAATAGGTACTGGCAGTGCCAGGGCGGGTACCCGCGGCTGCAGCGGTGCCCAGCGATGCTGGTGTTCGACAGGCGGTCGCTGAGGTGCGTCGTGCCACCTACTGAAGACTGCGATGTGCCTACTACAACCGCCGCGCCGGTAGAAGAAGATGACGTCAGGCCGGTGAGTTGAGTTGAATGGACCTTATACAGAGCCCGGCGATGCTGCGGTCGCTGAGGTGCGTCGTGCCACCTACTGAAGACTGCGACGTGCCTACTACAACCGCCGCGCCGGTAGAAGAAGATGACGTCAGGCCGGTGAGTTGAGTTGAATGGACCATATACAGAGTCCGGTGATGCTGGTGTTCGACAGGCGGTCGCTGAGGTGCGTTGTGCCACCTACTGAAGACTGCGACGTACCTACTACAAACGCCGCGCCGGTTGAAGAAGATGACGCCAGGCCGATGTGTTGAGTTGAATCGGTCATATGCGGAGCCCGGCGATGCTGGTGTTCCACAGGCGGTCGTTGAGCTGCGTCGCGCCACCTACTAAAAATTGCGACGTACCTACTACAACCGCTGCGCCGGTAAAAGAAGATGACGTCAGAATGGTGAGTTGAGTTGAATGAACCATATACAGAGCCCAGCGATGCTGGTGTTCGACAGGCGGTCATTGAAGTGCGTCCTGCCACCTACAGAAGACTGCGACGTGCCTACTACAAGCGACACACCGGTAGAAGAAGATGACGTCAGGCCGGTGATTAGAGTAAGACCATAAACCTTACTAATACATATTATAAATGTGATGTATTTTAATGTTTGTTACAATAGCTGGAACAAGAAAAAGACTTTAAACAATATAGAATATCGAAAAAGTTGAGCGAAAAGCTGACTTTCGATTAGGCGAATATACACCCCAACAAACTTCTTGAAGCCTGCGCAGTAGCAATTTTACATACAAAAACATCTTTGCGCAATTTATTTGTCTGTGGTTTTGCTCAAGCAGTTTGCCGTTACATATACCTATGTATTTTCTTGTCTCAGTTGCAACATATTTTAAAATAAGATAATCTTATGTCTTCTTTGCTTCTTTCAGGGTCAACAACAGAAGCGACCACAGAATCAAGATCACTTCGAGTCGCAGCAACCCGCACGCCAACGGCCGAGGAACTAACTTCTGCGACTTTCTAATTAAAAGAGTCATCATACACTTCTACTTTCTTATAATTCTCAATACGATTTGCATTGGTCTAGTGTGTTGCGAATTTCAGAAGAATGAGTAAGAGTCGATAATCTGTAGTCGGGGTGTCATACGCAATTGCACAGATAATACTGAGAGGTATTTTTGCTAAATACTAGGTCAATTTAAATTAGACTCTAAAAAAATCATTGGTGGACCTTGTTCATACTTCTTGCGTTCTGTATGTAAGCACCTCAGATTACAGAACAAAAAGGCAGATGGTAGGCACGGAACACCATAGCATATACGAAGTCAAAAAAGACTTCCAATTTGAGTCCGTACACCACAACGCATCGTGTTGTGAATACGTCCCGTGTATAAAGTTTTTATCAAAACTATGCCGCCTTGTTCATACATCGTAAAAACTGTTCACAAAGACAAAATTGTATTTACTTTTGACATCTGCCTTTTGTTCTGTAATCTGAAGTAAGCACCTTTCTCTATAACTTTATAACTGTCCCACCTTGTTAAAAATTTCAATTTGTATCATCCCATTGGGAACAAACTTAGTGCCTACCTATTTTATTTTTAAATTTTCTAAAGCGTATAAAGAACCAGTTTTAAAAATACATGCCATGTTATTTCATCGCTCTGAAGTTAGTAGCGCAAATGCAAATTCTAAAATGAAAAATTATAAAAATGTATCGTAATGATGGAACTGATATTCTTGATTTTGCGCTGTGGAAACTAACTTTCAGGGCCGTCTATCAAAATGTGTGTATTGATTTTAATGCTTTTTTATAGATAGCGGCAAACTTCTTGAGCAAAACCATAGACAAATAACCTTACGCAGTAAATGGTTTTTTATATAAAATTGGTACTGCGCAGCCTTCCTTGTCAATGGTCTTTGTTCAAGAAGTATGCCGAGGTGTATAATTACGAGTATATCTATCGAAGAGGGTCTTATTAGTAGTTTGCACTTCACTAAGTTTATTGTTTTTTTTTTAATTAGTCATGTAAGTAACTTTAGCTGTAATTGTTTTGAATATTGTGGAAGTCTCGAGTAAATACTCAGCAAGTATCCGTCCAAATATAACTTTTCTATACATATAAGTACCTACTTACTTGTTTAATAAAATAAACGTAACTTAATTTATACATGCAGGTTTTGTGTCAATTATATTTCTGTTTTTTTTTTTGTATTTCGTTTAACTTTGGATTTTAAGTCAATGTTGACAAAGTGTCAATTATTAATTTGATCTAGATTATACTTAGATGTTATTGAAATATGTAAAAATATGAAAATCTCATTTTTGTTGATTTGTCACAGAGGGAAATCAAAAAAGCGTATTTCCAAACGTTATATATTTTATTAATATACTTTTTTTGTATACATACTATCTCTTTAAGTCAATATTTATATTTGTAAGTTCTTTTTTGTAAGTAAAATAAAATAAATATCTCAAAATAATATATAGAATCACTTTATTTCCATCAGTGTTCCTAAAATATGCACAGACAAAAAATAAAGTTCGGAGTAAAGAATTATTTCTTAACTTTTAGTGGTTTTGTTTTTAAGAAGTCGCTTTTAATTTTTGTTAAAAAAGTTTCTATTTTCCAGTCTTTATAAGACAGAGTAACATCTACTAACTGAGTATAGGGTATAAGGCCTGCATTATCTCTTCCGTGTCCTTTAAAAAAACCAAACTCGAATTCTTTACTGTTTATAATTGAGGAGGTCCAGTTTTCTCCAAAACATTCATTATACCTTCACCTTAATACATGGGGCCATCTCATCAAGAAACTCTCAAACTCTTTTTACACAAAACAGGAATCATCAAAATCGGTCGACGCATCTCGGAGATGTGATGGTAAAAAAAGTTTATATACTAACACTGACTAATTGAGAACATAATCTTTATTAAGGCGGCTTTTCTTTTAAAAATGTATATAAAGAAAGGTTTAAAAGTTATTCCTTCACATATTACAAACTAGCTGTGCCCCGCGGTGTTACCCGCGGTTCATTAGGGATATTTTCCCGCTGTAAACGTAGCCTGTGTGTTAATCCAGGGTATCTGCTAACTCCATACCAAATTTTATTGAAATCGCTCCAGCCGTGTCGCCGTGATGAAGTAACAAACAAATACACTCACAAACTTTCGCCTTTATAATTAGTGTGATTATAATGAGAGATAAACTGTTTTTTTTTACACCAAATATTGGATTGGGAGGCCTTATTAGACACAACTGAAAGAGAATTTCGGAAAAGCGAGCTGTCGAAATCAATTAGAGCGAAACCTTAGCAAGACAATTAGAACCTCGACTTCGCCCCAATAATTTGTGTCAAAGAATAAACATCCTCCCCGTTAGTACACAGATCAAACATGCTCAACCTCTTATACTAGATTGGGAGCCAAATATAAAAAGGCTTTGTCTGTGTGGAAAAAAAATGACTTCCTGTTCAAATTTCCTCCCTTATTTCAATACCTTATATTTTTTTTGCAAGATAAGGTAGTCTATAACTATCGCCAAGATCTCTTATATGGAAAAAATCATAATAATCAACTAAGCGGTTAAGAGGGGAGGCGCGCAGTGTTTTTCCATACAAACATTCTCTACTAATTCCTTCTCCATTTTATTCACTAAAGAATTTATTTTCATACATAAATTATAATTTTACTCATTCTATGCCCCTATGTCTTGCTTATAACTTGTGTTTTAAAGAAACTGGAAGCTCTCGAAAAAGGCCAAATATAAACAAATTTTTAACACCACTAAAGACCTATTGTGAAGATTAAATAAGCATTTACAAAAAAACAAAACATAGAGGCATAGTATACTACATTACATACTACTTATTATTTTTTGTGTGATTTTTTTTTTACATACGGTACATCTTATTTTCGAGGAGGAAATCGTCGAGAGCCAAACCTCGAATTTCGCAATTTATATACGCAATTTTCAGCGTTAACTACTGTTGTCCCTCACGGTATTTGCTAAATAATGCGTGACAGCAATGGTTTTTCAAATACCTATTTCTCAAATATCTCTTAGCTCGCGTGCACTCTTATGACACCTGGTGTAAAACACGGCCACAACTACAGCCAGTTATTGCCGTGGCTGCAACCTTGGCCGTACAAGCTACTGTTGGGCTGCGGCCCAACCGTAGCTTGTACGGTCAAGTTTGGTACAAATGAAAGCGTTTAAAAAAACTAACTTTCGCATTTATAATATTTGTTAGAGACAGTATAGTTAGGATTATAAAAAATGGATTCATATGCTGCGTCAACCACTATGCATGGACAAAGGATATTATATTGGAGGTCCTAACACATGAGTAGTAGGTAAATATAAATCCTATATAAATATAGGTCCTAATAAGAAGCCGACTGTACCAGCGGGGTTCCCCTAACTGGTCATATACTGTAGAAAAAAATCGTTTTCAAAATAAAATGCTAGAATTCTAACAATTTGACAAACCATTTAGAACTAAAACTATCGGAAAAAAACTAATGGAGAAAAAGCTTTTGATGTAAATGTTTTTTGTACACGGAGTGACGGCACTATTGATGATATGCCAACCCACGCAAGAGCAATCATAATAGCTTTTCCGGTAAAAACACATTTCATCAGAAATTCGTACGAACACAAAACAAAATCGATCAAAAAATATGAATATGAAACTCTATATACTAGTACTAGAGGAACGGAAATTTATTTAAACCGCGCGCATTCACTAGGAAATATTCAATGCAGCATGGCTCCCTGTACCGACCGCCCCCGGCATCATTCGGGGTATGGACAGTGAAAAGGCAACTGCAGGGGACGTTTTCGTTTACCCGACGCGTATTTTAAAAGTACATAGTACTTAATTGTGTGATGGGAGGTGATGCCATTAAAGTCATTTTCAACGGACGAAAAAAACGGAGGAAGTTGTCAATTCATACACGCATAACTTTTTACAAAGTTTACCGAAGTTTTTATTTTATTCTTTTTTACAATTTGACATCTCCGAACATACCTTTAGATGCCTAGGTATAATAAATACAGGGAGAAAAAACCGAGGGCATAGTTTTAACTTTCACAAGTGCTTGTAACAGCCTTAACTGAATAACCACGCATATGTCAGAATTTTCGTTTCAAATCGTACTTAGCTTTAAGTATGTTTACTAACACATTTTTATTAAGGTCGCTTTTTTGTTTTTGTGTCGCTTGTCTCATTGAGTTTGGGCTTGTTTTTGTCTTTCTTTCTTTCTTCTTCTGTTTGTCTTTAGTCTTACATGCAATAATGGCCAGGGTTTATGGAACCGCGGAAGATTATTATCGCAATTATTTATGCTCTTTAAGATTTTAGATTAATCTTTAATTTATAGATTTTCTTGGAAACTTTAAATGATCGTTACTTTTTTATTATGTATATATTTTATAACATTGCGAAGATATCATTTTTATTTCTTGAAAAATTATTATTTTAACAATCTGGAACCATAATGTAAGAACATTTATGCCACTTATACGTCACTTTTATGCCGCTTACCTGAATTAAATAAATAAATAAACTTTGAAAGAACACTATGAGCTATTGAGAATGCATGTTATCCTTGTATACCTTTAAATAACGCTTTCCCGACCATGTTGGTGTTATTGAATTTTACAAAGCTTTTACCGGGTTTTTTTTTTATTTTAGCCAGTTTTGGCAGTTTTCATTATGAAAGTCATTATAGATTAGGTACCTTTTTAGGACTGTTAGAAGAAGAAGAAGAAGTGGTAGAAGTTGGCGTGCTTATTTCTTATACTACACTTCTGGACACATCTATTGGCCCACCTTAGAGGTGGCCAATAGATGGCCTTAGGGGTTTCGATGGCCCCTACCGAAATATGATTGCTAGATTGAACAAAAACTATTGATGCAGTTTTAAACCTGATACATTTTACCATCGTTTTCGATCGCATTGTTTTAAATTTGAATTCAGAATACCATACCACATGGAGCTACGCCTAACAAGTCGGATATGCGACTTGTTAAAGGCAATTGATCTAATAAAGGTTTAGTTAAATCTACCACAGCTCTCATACGATTAGGCATAGAGTTTATCAACCGCTCTATGAAATTTTGAGGGATCATCTCCATTCCTCTTCTATGGCAGTTTTCAACTCCTGCATCGTCTGGGCAACTGGCTGACGAGCCCTAACACGTCTTTTTAGCTCGTCCCACATGTGCTCAATGAGGTTCATGTCTGGGCTTCTGGCTGGCCAGTCCATAACTGTGATGTTCAAATCCCGAAGATATTCCCTGACGATGCCGGCCGCATGGGCTCTTGCATTATCATGCATAAAAAGGAAATTTGGGCCCACATAGTCCGCGTATGGTATCACGTGAGGTTCTAAGCACTCACGAATGTACCTTTCAGCATTTAATGTTGGCAGCCGTGGTCCTGTAACAACCTCAAGTTGAGTTTTGCCGCTCGCGGATATACCGCCCCCGACAGTCCATGAGCCACCACCATAAGCAACCCTCTCTTCAAAGCAGCATTGTGCGAAACGCTCTCCCTTACGTCGGTTGACCTTCTTCCTTCCATCATTGCCATGTAAG